TGTCTATACTTAAAACACTCTTTTTAGACCTTTTAGACTTGGTGAATAAATATATTGAGAGATCCTCTGATTTTGCTAAATGTACCTATAAATGTGTAAAGAGTATTTGATTTTAAAAGCTAAAAGCATGCAAAACTGATTTTAGAATATTGCTCAATCTTTGGAGCACAACAAATACTCTTAGTCGAATGCAAATCAACAAATAATGAACTTTTTTCAGTGATGCAAAGATTTCAAAAATAATATAATGAAAGAAAGAATCATATAAGAGTGTGTTAATGTTTCAAATATTTGTGTTTATTGCTGCAAGACCTCACCATAATTAAATGCCTGTAATAAACATATGGTCTCACGTCCAAAGACCAATAAAAGGTCATAGAATTATTGATATTTAATTCAGCAGAAAACAGAATGACATCCCTGGATGAAGGCTTTCATAGGGCTCTGCCACAGAGATTTGGTTTGATGCTTGTGTGCATACGTGTCTTAAACTTTCTTTTATATATCAGAAAAATTTGACCTTTTTTCCAAGTGGACTTTTTAATACACATGATTAAGGCTAAATAATTTTTAGTGTTTCTAAACATTTAAAAAAGAAGCAGTTAATTACAAGGGATAATGTAATTTAATCTAATTATTAGCCTTTTTTATTTGCCACTAATTAATCATTAGTGGCAAATAAAAAAGGCTGATAATTAGATCAAATTAAATGAAAATGGCTAATTAGGAATAAGAATAACAAATGTTTGCTGTAAAACTAAAGGTTGAGAAAACGTAAAAAAATTATTGGATTTGAAGCAATACTCATAAAATATGATTATTGGGTTGGACATGAAGAAACCATAATTAAATTAAACTATTCACATGCACACACACACACACACACACACAAACATTTTATGACTAAATTGAAGTATTTATACTAAAGTTTACCAAAAATTATAAAAAGACAGTAAATTACTGTTGCTATAATGCCTAATCTATATGTCCATACAAGTGCATGCATAATGATCTGCAAAGCTTACATTTTATAAATTGTATTTTAAAGAATGAGCAGGCAAACATAAATGTGATTTGAAAAAAATTAAGTTAAACTTAGTAATTTCAGCCCTGTAAAAAGTTAATAATTATGAATTAAATGGCAATCAACAGATTATTTATATTGAAGAGAAAGTTCTATAACAGTAACATGCAAAGCAGAGAATAAGTTCATTTGTATTTTACTTAATTGAAAGAAACAACAAAATCAATAAATGTGAGAATAAAAAAAAATTACAGTTGTATATGCAAATGATTATGGGAGTACTAGAGTAAAAGACTAACCTATAATTTCAGGTTCATGTTTAATTCCAGTGTTACTTGCCATTAATTGTGAAATTCAAATCTCAGCAAATTATGAGATTAAACAATACAAATTAGATTACAAAAAAAATGACAAAAAGATTGAACAACAAATTCATACAAAAGCAGTCGCTTTACAACACTCACACAATGCCCAAAAACAATTAATCTAACCCTTCTATAAAATAAACATCTTTAAATTCAGTTTGATTGCAAATTCTAAAATAATCAAACAAAAGCATGGAATTGGTTTATAAAAGATGAGAGCAGATTGTGTTAATAAACTACCTTGACATTCAGACAGTGGAATAATTTTTTTTTAAAAGACACTTGTTCAAGTAGCCTATATATATATCCAGCCATATAGAGGAAGACGGGCAGGAAAAAAACTGTTGCTGCTTCACATGTATTCTGCTATGGCATGTGCGTCCCTAAACACGGTTTTGCTCTGCGAATAATCTTCAAAACAAAAAGTAAGGTCACTTGAACACAACCTGATACAAAAATAATACTAGTAACACAACATTATTCCTGCTCACTCCAGATTTTTCAATTAATTACACCAAAAATTTATTTGTGAAGGCAGGTTAAGGGAGACGTTTCACCTATGTGATTTTTTTTTCACTATCTGATGCCAGAACATATGCCATTCCCCTCCAGGGCAGGAGAATCTAGACAGAAAATGAATAAAGAGCTTAATCTGTTCTGCTTTACCCAGCGTGTAAATGATTATTAACATGATGTGCGGACAAGTGTGAAAAGCAAGTGTGCTTTTGATCGGCAGCCTTTGTGTTAACTATAATGAAAACAGGACATCCACGATTAACGGTGTTTAGGAGGAGGAATTTTGAGTCCGTAAGTTCGTTAAAGTCATTTTATATTTGCCGAATCTGTTACAGAATATTAGCTCTTCACACCATTATGAAAAGTCAATGCATCTTTTTTATGCAACCTTGAGTTTTTCGATTTTTAAATCAAAATAAAGGGAACACTGTTTAGGATCATGTTTTATAAATACTTTCAAATTGGGAAACGTTTAATTAATATTACAACAACAATTAACTACCTAATCGTTATTTATATTATTATTTAATATTATTATTTATATATTGGCAATATTTGATAAAGTCTCGAATGAAATATTTTAAATGCAATAAAAAGGGCGAAATTGGACATAAAACCCATTCAGTGAATTATTTTCTACTTTAAATGTAAGAAAAGCAAAAATCGTTCATCGGTGTATTCCAAAAATAACCTGCTCTAATGAAATAATCCCAGACACGTGCGCAGTGTTGAGACATTCGACAGCAATAAATAACTGGAGAGATAATAAGTCAAACATGTTTAAAAAATACCCAGGAGTGTTCGACATGAAAATGCAGCCGGTTCTGGCGGGTCTGTGTTTATCATTCACGAGGGCAGTCTGAAAATTGAGACCCAAGGCTTAAACCTGAGGTAATTCAATTACATTTAACCTTGGGTTCGAAGCGAATCTAATCAATGCACTTTTCTCCGAAAGTGAACTTTTGCGACAGATATTTGCGCATAAAGTGACCTCAGAGTTTGCTCAATGAGAGAGGGAAATGCACACATTCATTTAATATATTAATAAAAAATTGTGTCAAATAAATTAAATACCTGCGTACATGATCAAACAAAAACGAATTAGGTAAAATAGGTAATTAGGAAAGAAATATGCATACAATAATTATTTGGGGGAAAAATCTGTAATTGCAAAAAGGTGAAAAACTAATTAAATATTCTATAAGAATGTTTTAAATCAGTGATTATTAAAACTAATTTGAACTAAAGTAAAGACTATTTCTCGTTTTAAAGATATTTACAATTAAGTTTAGCTGATTTTGAGGCTGTTGGACTCAACAAAAAATCCTTTTTAAAAATGATTTAAAATAACTAGTCCGTGTTTTATTATCAGTGACAAACAGTACAGGTGATATTAGCAGTAGAAATACCAATATCAGTTCAGTATTGTTACAAGCGCAAGCATCAAACCCATGTGGTGCATTGCAGAAATCCAATTAAGCTCGTGTTTCCTTTATTAAGTCAAATATTTGGTTGCGGTGGACAGAATGATCACTTCTTTTTTTAGACGATAGTTTTTCTTCATTGATAGCGTACGACAGAACTTCAATGCAGCACCAGAAATAAATGCTCTATTGAATTTTATAAGGAACGTAGCTTATACTGACATGGTTTTATGACGCTCTTTATTCTCTCTCTCTAATGTTTTCGGCTAAACTATTGCCCTACAGTGCCATTGACTGCAACCCCCCTAATCCAAGTGTATTTAAAATAATTAAGGCTTTAAATTATTAATGTCTTTTCTAAAAACTAAAATAACAGTTGGAAAATGAATCATATTTATAATAATATTTGGAAAACACTGCGGTGTAAAATTGTGTTTATTATGCAGCTTTCACTGTACTGGATAAAGTAGGTTTATTACAGTTTGTAATTTAGACAGGTTTGTTATTCCCATTCTGCTTTTCGTGCTAAACTACTACTGTACAACACGGAGTTTTTATTTATTTATTTTTAGTTTTACGAACGGAATTAAGGCAACTGTGTAAACATTTGTAATAAATTAGATCCCAAACTATGTTTAGCCAATTCAAATCTTTATTTAACCAGCTTAAAAGGATGTGACTGAAGGCCCATGCAGCTTGTTGCAAAAAGTAATTCGATTAAACACTTAGCATATGCAATAAATAAAATGTTTATTGGTTTTCCCACATAAATTAGTTGACATCTCGCTCACCAAATAAAAAGGCCTCGAGACTCATCTTGTCTCTGTTGTGGGTTCGGATTAATAGCGTCAAAATCTTTAAATTAAATATGCAAAGGTTAATTTGCTGTAAAAACACGATTGTCTCTGGCAGGTTAATAAACAAGACTTAACATGGCAAATTACGCATATAATTATCACAAATTTACAGATGTCTCAATAAAAATACTTTGTTGAAATTTAGTTGTATAAAGTGATATTTCAAACGATTAAGTTATAAAGTTTAGCAATAAAGCAACACAATTTTTAAACTGCAAAATGGATGTTAAACATGATGAACTTTTGTTCATCATCATGGCTAAACGTCATAAAGTATTACTTGCGTGTACATTAAATACATCATGAACACGTCATAATAAACAACATGCAACAAATAGGCCAAACGAGTAAGAAAAATCTAAAAGATTTGTCAACTACATCATTCCACGCTGATTTTTAAACAGCAAATAAAAAGATCTGACAGACCACACCAACAAATATGCCATACATGAAACATGATACAGTGTTTGTAGTAAGAGCACCAGGAACTTCCCAAAAACAAATGAGAATTTAGTGAAAAGCTCAGTGGAACGAATTTTACGGTTTTAAATTATTTTAGCCTTAATATTCAAAGTTTAACAGTTTCACCTTTCAAATTACTGTATAATTTAATCGATAGCAACATAAAGATCAACACAATTAAATATATATATTTAATAAACATTCAAAACTAACAAGCATTTGTAATAGAAAAGTAAAAACAAGAGTATAAGAGTGAACGCGCATCAGTGGATTAAACACAACAAGCATATAAAACCATAGAGCTTCTAGTCTGTCTCTTTGTTGGCAGGATAAAACCTTTACTTAAAAAGCATTGCGAATCAACCATTAAATTGCTCCCTCCGTGTTGCCCTTCACATCCAATCAGTTATACATTTCATATCCTAATGACATTAATGTCATGTGTTAAGTCCCCCCACATATTTCCAACAAAACATTTTTTCTTCTTAGCAAAGGTCTGACCTCACCCATTCATTTCATCTACATAATAACCGAGGAGAGGTCTTGACGTGCGTAGTGGTCTATAGCGAGAAGATCTGGGCTGCATCTTCAGAAGACGCATTTTTCGTTACTCCTCTAACCTTAAGGGGGCTTTTTAGCTTTTGGTTAGCTATCCGTTTCTGGAAAACATCTGAATCATTTTATAACCAAAGCCAGCTGCTCCACAAGTCTATGCGCGCGTGCGTGTGTGTGTGAGTGTGTATTCGTTTGTATGAGGAAGAGGGAGAGAGTGTGAGAGTATCTGTTCGCTTTGCTCTCCAAAAAGGAAGAAAAAAACGTTTGGACGTCTTTTTCCTCCCGAAACTTTTTTTTAGGAATGAACGCCGAGACGTGCGTTTCATACTGCGAAATGACATCCATGGATTCATATTATAGCCCATCTGCACCGCAAGGTAGGGATCACCAGGCGAACCCTTTCAGGACATTCCAAGCGAGTGACACCAAATACAGCCCCGCTTTCCTGACCAACAAAGGTCAGGGGTACGGGGAAAAATCTGGGAGCCCGTTCCAACAGGAATGCCAGTCATTGGATGCCACTGCTGGGGAAGGCACCTTTAACAAATACCACCTCTTCATGCAGAGGTCCTCCTGCAAAACTCCTCCAGACAGCAGCAAACTCCAGCAGGAAAACAGCGGACACAACGGAGGGCTCATCGCGTGTTATGGTGAGTTTGAAACGAAGCATTTGCAAAACAAGTCTTGGTGTGCAGAGAGAATAAACTCAACCTGTCTTGTACTTTCTCGTCTTCGATACAAAACAACAGCAATGAGCATATAGCTTCCGTTACCTAATGACATTCGCGTTTTTATGACTGTTAAGACAGGATAATCTGCAAAGCCTTTCAATAAAAAAACTACAATTAGACCAGAAGATATTTTTTTTACGTGAGAGGAGGTTATTCATATTGATAATCACATCAGCGTAAAGTCAATCTGTAGGATAATATTTACAAAGCAAATGCAATAGGCTTCACAACTTACTACCAATATAACTGGCTCAGCTCTCACAGTAACACGATTAGGAAGAGGCATAACCTCCCCGTTATTGCATTTTAACTTTGCGGACCGAATTAAATTATATTTAATGCGATAATCTGAATTACAATCCTTAATACTGGATATGAACTAGACAATTGAATTAACACGTTTTGGAAGGCAAACGCAACTATTTTATGCGCTTTTACAAGTTGTTGACGGCAAATTAAATAGATCGTTTTGAAGTTTTCTAACGTGTATGGTTGCAAGCTCAAAACTAGGTATATTTCCCCCCCATAACTATTACAAAAACAAGCAATTTCTTGTGCAAACCGGAATTAGCTAGGCCTATTTGTAATAAAACATGAAATATGCCGCGAGGTATGGCACATCAATTAAAATTTTAGTTTTAATCATAAGTTAAAAAACACACCACTTAAATTAGTACAAATGTATTAAAATGTGTTAAATTTCATACAAATGTATTAAAAAGAGAAATGAAAAAATAGGCTATATATTCCTTGCAATCTGTGAATGAAACTACTGTTCGATTGAAACTAGAAACTGGAAGCCAGGTATCAAAAGATTTTCAGGATTTCCGTTCTTTTGACATCCATAACTATATAATAATAATAATAAATAATAATAATAACAACAATAAATTATTGTTATTATTATTAATATAATAAAAAACAGGAGGGAAAACCATTAAAATATTTCCGGATATATGTAAACCAAAGGGTCGATAGCGGTAGCCCATAATGAGGTTGGAAAAATGTTTCAATGTGTTCGTAAAAGTCTACTGTAAATGTTTGTTTTAGTTAATGGATCTTTAACAATGCACATATTTTAAACTGACACTAATGTGTTTGAGATTAAAGGAAAAATTTATAGACAAATGTCTATGAAACATGTCAGGTGTGCTGTGCGCCTATTTATTTAATATACGCAACATGAGCTGTCTAGGGTGTAAAATAGTAGATCAACAGGCTTATAACCACAAAAATAAATAACTATTTTAGAAGTGGAAATATATTGGCTACAAAAAAAAAGGGGAAAAAACGAAGTTGGTGCATAAAATAGTTTATGAACATGTTAGTCAACTCTAACATTATAAAGAATTCTATAATAACAAAAACGAGTTTTCAGATATCATACAATCTCTTGTGATTTAATAAAAGAAATGATCAAAGCCTAAAGAATTATAATAGAATTTTGATACTATTCTAAGATCTCAATCTGTGATAGGCCTTAAAACCTTATGTCCTATGCACGTGAGGAAAAAGCAACATGCGCTTTAGTGGTCTAAAAGATCTTAATGGCAGGCCTACATTGCAAAACTGATCGTTAGAACATTGCAAGATTATTGTTAGGCTATTAGTAAAATAAATAAAGAAGATACATTTTAAAAGTGGAATAAAAACAATGACTATTATTATAATTTATTATATTTATACCAACACTGTCAGATATTTTAGAGAATAATGACGTAAGTGTGTACAAATTTTTTATAAGGACAAAATACAAAAGCGTCATCGGTCTACAGCTGCAGCTTTCGGCAACGCGCTGCATAATAAACGGATGACGCAACGAGATATCGACATACATTAGACTTAATAATGGTCTGTTGTGCAGATGTTGTCAAATAAAAGTCCCATTTCCAAAACTAATCAAAAACTCTCTGACAAGGACAAAAGTATTATAGCAGCCGCTTAACAGAACCTTTAAAAGTGAATGGCAAAATTAAATATGCAAGCCTGTGGTAAATATTTTGCAACAGCCTACTTTAAAAAATGTCATGCAATGTCTGACAGATAGGGCTTGAATCGATATTTAAATGTGATTATCATGAATGCACATTAATAAAATGCCTGGCTATATACATGACAAAGTTAAAGTCTTACCTGGTGATGGTGAGCTCAATACTTAAATACTTTTTATACAATTATTAAATTAATAATTGAGCTGCAAACAGATTTAACAATATAGCCTGTAGATTATATAGAATGTGTCAGCAGTAAACAGATGGATTTAACTCAACAGCTCCCTTATAAATAAAGCTTCATGAAAAAAATAATAGAAAACAGTTAACATGAAGCAAAAAAGGAAGTCAGTCCATGCAGAGCAGGTATTCTGACTCAAACTGGTAACAACAAACATGTGTCATGTTAAAAGTATCCTGCTTTATTCACAACTATAATAAACGGTTGTGGCAGAATATATGAGTTTATTTGCATCCTGTCTAAAATAAAAAAGCAAAAGAAAAAAGGGAGTCTCAGTTCAAATGGATTGTTTTTTAATAAGGCATAATGAATGCATGACTGTAATTGATCTAGAGGTTAGTGAACCTTGAGTAACTGGCTGCAATTCAAAACACATTTTATCCATTTATTCATATCTACAAAATTAATTAGTTCATGACTGTTTGTGTACTTTATTTATGGTATTAATATGTTTGCAATGGACATATGCAACCTTTGAATGCTGCCATAAATAATTCTTATGTCGATCATATAATTATTAAAATTCAACTTTGAAGCAATAAGGTTGGCGGATACAGATAACTACATTTCACGACAACAAATAAATCAGAAGAAATGGTTTTTAAAGACTCGTATAATTATCAAAAAGCAAATCATAACTTAATATCCCGATTTGCATTTAAATTTACAAGAGCTTTTTAAAAGGTGACTCACTCATCTCTAAAGAGACATCATTGTAGCACCACAACATCCAAAAAATAAATTTTTGGGGCCAAAATTAGAATCGCAAAAAGCCCATTTTGTGCATTTTAGTTTTATGGCGTGTGATGCCTACAGGCGAATGACAACCAGTTAGTGAATAAACAAATAAAAGCCTCTGTTTAAACCAGAATTCTTAGCCAAAAAGTAATAATACTAATAATTGTGCGAGCTATAGGCTTATATCTGCTGTAGGAGCCGCATGCAGTCACATTTCCCTCGAGTGTGATTATTTTATGCTGAAGAGAGTATGTGGTTTTCAAAACAAGCTTTTGACTAATTCCTCCTTTGTGGTCAGAACCAATAACAAAGGAAAACGACACTCTTAGGAGGGAGCCCTTCATCACCTCTTCACTTTACCAGAGCAATGTGTCCCATTAGTGAACACTGTCCTTGCAAAAAAAAAATGTAAATAAAAAATAAAATAAAATAATATTTTTATTTTAGGTCAGATGCAGATAGACAACAAGATCCCTGTTAATCAGGATTGAGCCCAAAACCAAAGGGAGTCTATGGAAATGTCAAAGTATGACGACTTTAGGCATCCTTGTAAAACAAATGCCTTAGACAAAGACAAACGCATCACTATCATGGCATCTGATCTGGCTTGCAATGTTGATGGAAGTAATTGCAAAAACTTATCAACATTGGGTAATGTGGTAATATCAACATTAACGACTCCAATTAAGGACGTACTCACAGCAAGTGCCTGCTTTAGGGGAGGTTGTGATGAATGAGGTATTTAAGCAAGTCAGCATTATTATACACTGTAAAAAATGCTGGGTTCCACACAATCGAATTGGTTAAATTTGACAAATTTAAGTGGACTGAACATAAAACAACCAAGTTAAAGCAAAAAGAAGCCAAATTGTTGTTTCAGCTCATTTAAAAGAAGCAGCTTGAACAAACAGCAAATGTCTTTTTTTAAAAGTGTAAGCCATTGATATTTGAGGATTTAATAGGGTAGATAGTACTGCTTGGGTACAATATTTACAGTGCAATAAGAAAGTTGGCTAATAATCAGTTAATAAATAAAGACAGTGTGATATACAGTGTTGTGCAAAAGGCAGAAGACATAGATCACGGTTTGTGTTTGGTTATCTGTTCTTTTTCATTATTATTTTGTCTAATGGTGGTTGTGTGTACCACTTTGGCTCACGTTTGTTCAAACTATTATATTCACAATTTAAAGTTCCTCTTTAGTGTTGGCAACTGCAAAGCAAAATTGACCAAGTTAGTTGTTGTTTTAATACTTGCTTAGTGACCTGTTAATCATTTCTTTGTCTCAAATACTTATTGTGTGAATAAAAAAACGACTGCAGTAAGTGTAAATAAGTTTTAAGAGCCTTTTTATAATCGTAGTTTGTCTTTGGACGGATTCATTAATTCTCATTGCTTGTAAACCTTTTTTAAAGCACTGTTAGTAAATCTAGCAAACTATGGTTTATGCGCTTCTGAATAACTATATTAGAGGAAGTCACTCAGCTGCATTTCTTTAATGAGCATTCACAAAGCAGCGAGACTTTTTTTTCCCTGTTGTTAAACAATACTTAAGCATAAAATAGATTTAAAATGTTGTAAAAGTTGGCAGAAATATATTAGAGCTTTTTAACATTTTTCTGTCAAACAAACACATCAAAAACAAATGTAACTATTATAAATTTGACATGCTGAAAATGATTAAAAGTTTAATTTGCATTACTGAGGTGATCAGTTCTGAAGCATGCATTAAAAGTCTGCTTTAAATTAGTTTAACGATGAATTGTTACCCTTTATTTGATCAATTTATTTCAGTAATAATTCACAATGTGTGTAGTGCTATACCATAAATTGAATTAACTTGAAAAATTATTACCCAATAAATCCAAAGAACTTCAAAATATCACTAACATAATTACTAAAACATTAAAATGTACACGTCATAAGAGATTAAGCAAACAACTTAGTTT